TCCCCCAAGCACTGTACCCGTTACTGTAGCTGCTGTCTCTCCCTCTTCTAATTATACCCATGTGAGTCTATTAATCAACTTGTAAATTATTTAGAGAGCCATGCGCTGTCTTCAGCTAGTACAAACACACTGCATGCAAAGACTTGCTGAAAACCAATGGAGCTCCCAAAGGGTCTCTCTCCAATGTTCAGACAGCTTGCAGCTCGCCAGTACAGCGCTGTTAAAAACAAGAAATAACACTAAGCTTACCTCCTCAGATATAAAGATTTACTCAGCCTTTCAACTCTGAAACTCTTTGCAAGTTTTTAACAAAGAGGAAGCTGCTCTATTGTCAAATCTGTACTTCACACTTAGTGATGAGAATATTAATTTGATGTCAAAAAAAAACCCCAAGTGCCTTCAGTGAGACTGTGATCACAATCACCAGGGGACCCCAACTTTCAGAGGCTATACCAAAAAGCACCCCTTTAAAACCATTCCAATTTAAAATAAGGGGAAAAAAAAATCTACATTTGTACAGTAATAGTTTTTATTAGAAAATAGGAGAAATTAGGGAATTCCAGATTTTACCCCCCACATGCAGACTGCCATTGGGGACAGCTTCAGATATTACTACTTAAAAAATAGAAAAGGGAAGGGGAAAAAACAACACAGATTGTGTGTGTTCAACTCTAACAGGCTGCAAACAGTGCAATGTTATCTGTCTTCCATGAATCAGCTCTCTCTACCACCCGAATCTTCATTTTGGTGAAAAAAAAAACCAATTACCCAAACTAATAGCAGTTCTCCCAGACAAAAAGCAGAATCTTATTGGTTTGGGAGTGGGGCTTTTTCCCCTCTGTTTTCCTGCCATCTCACTCTTCTTGGCTCCATTTATTGCAGCTTTGAAAACAGATAATTAGCTGTGATCACTCCATACTATTTTACCTTGAAAACACGGAAAATAGGACTGACAGAATGACATGCAAAGTTCTTTTCAACTGACTGATGACCTTTGCTATTTTTGTGATGCCCCCAGTGCCAAAATGCTTTTGCTTCTATATTCATTAATAAAATGCAAACATCTCAGGGCAAACTCCAGGGATGTTTAGGGGGGAAAAAAGCAGATACGCTTTCTGTATTTTTTTTTTATCTCCCAGGGTATCAAATTCTGACAGACACCTTTAAAATGGTGAACATAGATCCTGCAGATGGAACTTCAAATTAATGCATGCCCATGTTTTCAATGAGACAGGTCCAGAAGGCAGTCTAGCCCTCCTCAGAATTACAGCAACCTGGGAACACAAATTCTGGATAAAGGTCTTCATCAAGCCTGTGGGATCTATGAACAGGCTATCTACTTATGCATCACTGTCCATAGCCTGGATTACTGGAAGGGGAAGGACCAGTCGATGGAACAGTCTCTTCACAACGTTTCAGAAGGAATCAAACTGAATGAATTAATTTATGTGAGTTGTCTTGCTCCCTGTGGAAGGGTTCTGGCCGCTACGCTCACCTCTTACTCAAAATGGAAGTCTTCCTAGGCTGCCCAAGCAAACAGTGTGTACTAAATTTAGCATTATTGACCAAGATTTAAACTAACAGGAGTTAGTGACCAGAAGACTGGTCTCAGACTCCAATTCTGGTAATTTTCTGCCCAGAGTATAGTTAGCAATAATTGCCCGGTATTCAGTGGAAACCGCCATATCTTAAAGGAAAAGTCCATGCACTTCAGCCTGGTTGTCCAAAGAACACCTCTGTGTTTATGACGGACAGAAAGGTTGCTGAACTTCACACTGAAAATGCATTTTTCAAAATCTAGCGTGCACCAATTGTAGGCTAGAATGTCTTGGGAATTAAAAAACTAATGGGCTCAAAAATATCTATGCTACCTTCATTATGCAAAATAAATCACTATATACAAAATTGAGAAGTTTGATAAAGCAGGAGCTACGGTCTTTATGAGACAGCAAACACTAGAAAATAAAGAAAACAGGAATGCACTGAGTTGCCTTCTGGGGTGAATAACAGAATTGTCTGGGCTGTTGTTGAAATACTTGTTGTATACATGAAGCAGCAGTACAGGAGAAAACAACACAAAGAATGTTTGTGAACACTAAAACCAATAAGAGATCTGGGTTAGTCTACCAGAACTAGAACAGAATAGACAGTGGACAGCCTCAATAACTCAATAATGAGTTAGCTTTGAATAAGCTGCTTTTTGAGCCTTTTTATGACACCGCACCATACCCTATTGGCCTATCATAAATGACTAATTGTATGCAATCATTTGTGTCCACAAGAAGGGAAAGCACACTGAGATCAGTCCCTAGGGCAAGCATTTTAAGAATATATGAGGCATGTCCTCAAGATTATATGGCACTAGTTTATTTTGATGAATAATGATTTGAGTGCAACATTTTTCATGGTCTGTCTTTGGTTCCAGGGTATTCTGTGATAGTATCACTTGCATGATTCCTCGCCCAAAGGAACAACTAAGCTTAGTATACAACTAGAAATGCAATGAAAATTTTTAAATTCTAATTGCTTTTCCAGTTATAACACTGTCTGCTATTGACTAAACTAACTCTTTTCAAATGTGATTTTCTTGAGAATCTTTCCTCTGTATTAACCTGGTTGTAATTCTGTAGGAAGACAACAAGGATTCTTTGCCCATCTTTCCTCTTCAGTACACTATGTTGTTTCATTTTCTCTAAGCCTCTTGTGAGGGTAGTAATGAATTCTTTGTTAGTGTTTACTAATGTAAATTCATTCTTTGTTATCCCTGGGAGGGGAGGATTAGCAAAATGACAGAACTTATTATTTCTGGTATTGCTAGATAATATTTATTTTTATTCAGCCCTTAATTTTGTAGGATGTCCCACCAAATAAAATATATGTGCATACAAGCAAAAACCAAGGATGAATTTTTTAGCACAATGTACAGAAATATGATTCCCATTAACATTCAGAAGCATTATACAGCTTTATCCTTGCATGCTTTATTAAAAAAAATAATCTAAATCTGAAATAATTTCTAATTTGGAGGAAGAAAAGAATTACAACTTCAATTTCATTTTCCTAAAATGAAAGAAGCTTCTTTGGACTAAGGATGTGCATATTGTTAGGACTAGCTAAAAATTACAATCTGTGCAATTATTTTACTCTACTGGCAATGCTTTTGGGATCTCCTTTAAGGAACTTTAATGGTTAAGATGAAGTTTATAAAATACACAAAGAGCATTTTAGTAAAGAAAGCTCCTAAAGGGCCTATCTTTGAATAAACAGATCATCCAAACTCCAGTCTCAGCCATAACTGAAATTTAGAGAGCAGGGTTTTTGCAGTGGCTGCCCTCTACTTCACAGAGATGAGAAGAAAGTAAAATTACAGTATACACATAAGATTCAGAACTTAATGGATAACATGGAAAAAACATGGGCTCAGAGCTTAAAATGATCTTCACATGTGAGTTAGACTGTGTACACAAGTAGCCACATTCAAGTCAATCAGTCTATACACATGAAGAAGTTTTTTCCATACATGAACATCTAGGGTGTCCTGCATTTAATATCTGTTGAGATCTCTTGCCTTTGAGTTAAATGGTCGTTCCAATTAGCAGTGTCTCTAAACCAGAAAATCCTCTCCTAGATCTCTGTGCCCATGTTACAGAGGACCCAGCTTCTCTCTTTCAGGCTGTAGAGATTCATGTTTTCCATTCCTGTGGTTCCCATATAAGCTCCTAGTCCCAGCAATATGGTGGCTGCCACAGAAAATCAATGTATTGAACTAGCAGAGTTACTGTTATTACGAATAAATGCAATCCATTCACTAGAGATGAAGTTTAAAGTATTACCTTGTGACTTGATAAAATGACTGACAGAGGGATAGAATACCCAAAGCTGCAGGCTGCCAAAGGTCTTTTTGAAATGCCTAGAAAAGTACTGAATCTCTTGGTATGGTATCAAGGGAACCTCAGTTAATTTTATAGGCTCATGTTTCAGATCTGTGTAATTCAGTCTCAGAATTAAGCTAGTGTGCAAAAAAGGGGACTTTCAAGCTTTCCACCTCACCAAATGATTTTCCTTGCCAAAAATAAAAGACAATGAAGATTGCTCTTTGCTCAGGGGGGGTTTGCTCAAAATTCCATTAATACTGAAGCTTAACTGAGATTTCTCAATCTTCAGCAAGATTGTCTCCTTATATTTGTATCACTGGTAACTATTTGGCCTGTTGCCAGAAACAGGACTGAAAGTTCCTTTTCCAGGCCATTGTAATTTGGCAAAATAAACATTCTTCACCCTACTGAAATGCAATTTATCCTTTAGAACTACAGATCTTTTCTGATTTTTAATACCCACCACATACAGAGAACTATACTTGTGCAAGACAACCAACAAACAAGTAAATTTAAGCTGCTGCCCTAAGGAGCTTACAGTGTTTATGATTTATCTGAAATCACTGCAGAGTTCTCCAAAAGCAAAGTATGCTTAGATATTCTTTGTGGTAGTCCCCTCCTATAACCAGAAATGCTGACAGAAATGAAGTGCAAAGAAACTTTATTTTTAAGTCTAAAATATTTGTGTGAAAGTATAGGAATCTACAGTAGCATTCTCAAAGTCAAAATCCACATATAAAAGCAGAGTCTTTATTAGAGCACACCTGAAATAATAATGAAACACAACACTGTGCTTTAAATAACAGTTTAAACATTTTAAAATTATATATCAAGAATTCTGATTTTTATTTAGAGATAAAAACATGGAATTCAAATTTTGGAATGTGTACAAGAAATCTGAATTTCACTGGAACAGTGAACTATTTGCTTTGAAGATATCAAAGATCTTAGAAATCCAACTTCTGATACGCAGTGCTACAAATCACATGAATGAATGGAACTAATCAACTTCCAGATTACTCTGATGTAACTCAGACTAGATTCTGACCAAGAAGAATTCACTCACAAGCTGTTTCTCACCACAGATTTGTAACTACAGTGTAATGAGACAACAATGTGCCCTACCTGGGTATCCATTGTCAATATAAGGCTTAACGAGTTCTCCAAGTTTTGTCTTCTCTGCAACAGCTTCCTTTAGCAGTTGCCCACAGCAAACTAACAGGAAGGAAGAACAAAAAAGACACAAGGTTAAATTTTAAAAAGGAGGCAACAAAGAAAAGAAAAAAAACCCAGAAGCTGCATACTGGAATAAGGTCACTGAATAAAATAAAAGTTGTAGTTTTTTTGGGTTTGTTGTTAAGATATTTTTTTTTGTGGCCAAGCAGAGCAAAAAGCAAAGAGACTGAGCAGGGGAGAATACTGAATAAAAAAGAATACATTTGGCAAAGAACATATTAAAAACAGAGGTAGAGAGAAAGATATTAATCAAATATGTTTCTGAAATAATAACTCAAGGGATTGCTAGTGGCTTTCACTTTTTATAAACTTATAATTACTGAAGAAAGTTACACCTGCTGAACAGCATCTGAACCACACTGTTGGAGGTGCAGGATGATACGCAGTTCAAGGAAGTGACTCCCTGGATCATTTAATGATCATGTTAGCATTACATTTTAAAAATTGTGCTAATGCAATATTATCATTGACTTCAAATATACAGAACACCAGGAGATGAAGATTTAAAGTTTTAGTCAGGACAGCTGTATATAAAACACTGTTACTTTGGGTGTGGATAGCACTTTCTGACCAAAGTTATTGAGTCTTACTGCTCCCCATGAGTTAGTTACAACAGTCCTGACCCTTATTTTACAGAGAGGGAACTAAGGCACGGGGAGGTTACACAGCATCACAAGAAGTCCTAGTTCTAACTCAGCCTTGGTAAATATTAGCTAACAGTCACCCTGTACATTACTGCATGACCATTCAATTAATAATCATAAGTTGATTCCACTTCTTTTTGAAATCAATAACACCAACACCTACAGCTTCACTGACTTTAATGGAAAAAGAAGCAAGCCCTTTCATCTGCTTTATCGCTGCTAATCACACTGTTTGGCAAACAAGATTAAGCATACTCCACAGTAACATCTCTTGGATAAAGTTTATGAAGTTTAATGTTTAACTGTCAAGGGATGAACACCAATTTTAAGTCACTAGTTGTCCTGGAGAAGCAAACTCAAATCCACAATAAATGGTTTAAAAACATAACAGACTCTCAGTGCATAGTCCCCAGTTTAAGGCAACTAATATGTATACACTTAAATTCTATCCAATTCATGAGACTATTTAAACATAGGATTAAATTTTTAAGCCTGTGCTTCAATCTCAATGGCCTAATTGAAAATTAAGGATATGCTGAATACTATTTAGAAACATTATGGTCTTCCAACTCTGTTTTAAATACTTAAAATACTAAATTGGTATACAATATACTTAAAATAAAATTCAACATATGGGTAAAGCAGTGGTACTGGTATTTAGTAAAAAAAGCTGCAACTCTCTCACATAGTAGTTACTTTTAAAAAAATGCAAATTTTGACCTAGATGAAAATACTATCAAACTTGAAGTTTTAAAAATGTTAAAAAAAAAATTCAGAAACATGATAACAAGTTAATTTTTCTTTAACACATTCAAACATGTTTTTTCATCAAGCTAATTACACAATTATTAAAAATACAGCTTTGAATAAATCTACAACGTAAAATTATAAAACACAGCAATATTAAAATAACTGATAGCATAAACATTCTATCAATTTCATTTGTAATTATCAGTATTGTAATACAGATTTTTAAATAATTTAAATTTACCTTTTTCAAGTTCACTGGATATAAGTTTAGTCATATTAATGTACTTTTTAAAAAAATACTAAAATAATAATAAAGATTTAAAGTACAAAAATACTAAACCTAAAATCCCAAACTGATAGGTAAACAGTTTCATAGCTCTTTCTGTGCCTTTAATGGAACTGCACAAACCTATGTCTAGCTATTAGTTAGAATGATTCTATGGAAAGTATATGGCTTCTTCTGAAGGTTCAAGTTTGAACCTGAAAGAATTTCTTTCTTTTCTGGGCAGATCTACTAAACCTGTAATTGAAAACAATATCGCTCAGATTTTGAAGTTATTATTTACATGTAAAGCTAAATCCAGGTTCAGTGAAATCTTTTGACTTCACCAGAGTTCAGGAAAGACACAAACTAGCACATCACTAAGGAAAACTGAGTGAGTTCCACTAATTAAAGAATCTCCCAAAGATAGAAATTCACTACCTACATAATTCTGATTTTTTCATTTGGCATACATTGAAAGAATACTAATGAAACAAACTTGTATTTTACTTAACAAAGAGGATATGACTCATCAGAAAATTTTACAGATACCAGACATTTGTTTAAAATAAATTATGGCTACTCCGCTGTGCAAAGACATCATAGAACGCGGACATATATTGCATCGATCCAATCACCAAGCTGTATATTCATATTATAGGACTTTTTAACCTTAGCATGCTAACCACAAAGAAGCCTCATATAGAATTTTCTGGGCCTCCTTTACAAACAAAAGAGAATGCACTTTTAAATAATTGCTTCATTTTCTAATACGTTACTTCAGCTGCACAGAACCTGAGTCTTCATTAAAGTTCAGAGCAAATTCTATTTTAAAAGTGCCCCAATTTTGGTCAGACAGCTGAAACTGCAAAGACATTACTTATGATCCACTGATCCACAGAAGAATTCAGAGCACTACAGGAACCTAACACATGGAAAAATACTGATGTAATAGGTATAAAAAATGATGACTAAAAAAATGTTAGACCTGGTTTCTCACAGAATATATGCTCTATTGGTTATATTTCATTGAAATACTTTTCACTTCCCTCAAAAATTTGACATCCATAGCAATGGACAAACGGAGAAATTTTATGAGCAAGTAAGAAAGACAAACAACAAAAGATAAATGATCAAAAAGAGAGAAAGGGGGAATTGAGCAAAGTGCATATTTACTGAGAACTTACTGTTGACAATACCGTATTTCTGAGCTATTAGTGCTGCCTGCAGGCTCTTCCCACTGCCTGGGGGTCCACAAAAGAGAATCCGTGGTGTAAAGGGGGCGGCTGATCGGTGCCTTGTTTGGACATAGGTAAGAACTAGAACATGAGAGAAAGGCAAGAAATACTGTTTTTACCCTATTTCTTAAAAAAAAATAAATATATAAACATTGATTACCTTCTTTTTTAAAAACAGGTTGTCATGTTGTTCATCTTTTATTTTATCACTGAAACATCTAGATAGTCCAACCAAAATCAGGATTCTGATCAGTAGATGTCAAACCATTTTAAAGAGCAGATTCAATTAATAATTGCTATTTTACCATGTTGTTTTTAGCAGAATTAATTTTTGCTTGATAGGTACAATTTTACCATGCAAATTATGGAGGGATATAATTACATTTAATACTTTCTACAGCTTCTGAATAAATATTTAAGTGTAAAAACTCAGGATGTTAAATTACTATGACATTTATCCAGCTCTGTGTGTGTGATTAACAGACCCCTAATTACAATATTATAGACTTGTAGCCTAGAATGTCATGACACAATACAACATTGACAACACATAACCGAGTATGATTTTATTCTCTTGTCCATCATTTTTGCATAACATGTAAAGGATATTTGAGCTTCTCTGTCCACTTCCACTCTGTTTCCTGGATATCATTATTTTACATTTTGTATCACATAGGAAATACTACATTCAGGTCAATCTACAGATTATAAGAGCTTTGGAAAGACCACAGGACATGTGAAGCATCATCAGCGTTGCTGTATTATAGAGACCTGAACTTTGTTACAATCTCAAAAGAAAACCTGATAGATCTCCAAGGAACTAAAAGAAGACACATCTTGGCAATGAGGACAAATTATGATTGTATTTGGACATAGCCAAACACTCTTATTCCCCATGCCCCTTTTATGGCTAACAATACTAGTGAAGAGAGCAGCTCAACCTTCACCACAAGCTTTCCAGGGATCACAGATTCAGATGCCAAGGCTAAATTTCATGTCACCATATCCTGACTGCCATGATTACCCATGATTAAAGCAGCATGGGCACACCTACACAGGCTTTGATTTCCTCTGTAACTGCAATGGATACAATTAAGTGTTAGCCCAGACATCTTCAGTTATAATAAAAAGTCCTTGTAATAAAATGGTATTTTAGTCTAAGAAATAGGAGAGGATTAGACACTAATGTTTGTATGAATCATAAGCCCATTAAAAAAAAAATAAAAAACAAACAAACAAACAAACAAAAAACAAACAAAAAAAACAACACAAAAGCATTGATGGAGAACACCATAAGCATCAGTATTTTAACTACCATTGTTAACACATTGTGGTATACTAGCTTACAGTTTTTATGAGGACCCTCTGCTAGACATTTTGGTACCTTTATAAAATCTTTTCATAATAAAGAAGCATCTCCAGCAAGCTCAGAACCTGCTATTTCAAGATAGTGGACCTAAAGTATTGAGAAACTAACTCAAACTGCAACCACATGGGACGACATACATCTCCTCCAGTGCCACAAGCTGCACTGGGATACTACACTGTGCAACTGAATTTGATGTCACATACCCTAGCATATGTTAGCAGTAATTGTATTAAAGTTTAAGAGTTTACAAACTTTTATAATTGTATGAAACAATCTGTAATAATATTGATGATTTTCTTTCTTCTGTAACTCTATCTGTAGCAATAAAAATACGTAACAAAAAACCTGGAAAGTCGTAACAGAAAATAGTGTTTCTGCATAACTTCATAAAAACCAAATACCAGCTACCCAAGGAGAGCTCTAGTTATTCTGAACATTTTCCATAACCCAATGTATTGAAAAGCACAAACATTACAGGCAAAGCACCCTGCTTACAAATGATGCTTAATTTGCAGTAAATAACCAAGTTAATTAGGAGTAATGATCCCCTAGACAGTCTCCACATCTAATTATTCTTTAAAAAAAAATCTGGCTGCTTGATGCACTGCAGAAAAAAGATCTAGAGAGGATTTTTTCATTCCAGTTTTCAATTTATCTCACTACATTATTAATTAATAATAATTAATATTCAGGCACTCACATTTTTATTTACAATTCAAGGCATGAATTCTTTATGAATGTTGATATGAACTTTTAAATTTAATTAAGTAATTTAGAGGTAATTAATGTGTAAATTCAGAATATAAACTTCCTACTTGTTTATCTTAAAAGTGCAGCACTTGTTATTAAAAAAAGACCTTTCTGAGATGCAAAATTACTGGGATATAACAGATCATCTACCGACTGACAGCTACAAAGTACATTATCAATTGGTCTTTCTGGCAGTTTCCTTATTCTCTTCATGAAGAATCAACATTAAAAGTCAGATTGCATTACAGTCAAGCAAAGGCAAACAATAATTGTTGAACAGAAAAGCTACCAGCACAAACAGCTTTTAAATAATGAAATGTTACCAGCTTTGAACTACTCCTACTTCTTGTTATCAGACTTGTGGAACGTACTAGCCCTTTGGGGGATTAACAACTGAGCCACAACGCAGCCTTTTAGAAGAGACTCTTGCAGAAATAACTGTGACTTTTGCTCTACTGAGTCAGCTGTTCCTTGGCAGGACTGTGCAACTGAGAATTTCCAGCTATCTGCACTTTAGTCCTGTAAAATTATTACCAGGAACAGACCAAACCCTGCACTAGAGAGAACACAACTAATCTGGGAGCCATATGTGTTGACTAATCATAATCCTACAAACTGTTAGGAGCTACCTTTCAAATAAGAGTTTATCAACTATTAGATTTGCCAGAAAGATACAGATTTACCCTGTGAGAGGACATCCATGGAAGGCTGGTCTGCATTGATTGATTTCAAAACTTTTTGGTAGGTCTGGAAAACCCCAGGGAAGTTTCTGTGATATTCCAGCAGTTTCTTTGATATCTCCTGTTCAGATAGATCTTCTGGTTTCACCAAACGTTGCTGTACCAGCAGATCACTTGGCCAGTCAAACGTCGTATGGTACACCTCTAGAAGTTAGACACTGATTAGGAACTAACAGGATGATTTAATAGGTCTTGCTCAGCTCCAGAATGTTTTCCAAACAAAATCAAGGTCTTTGTTTAAGCTTTATGTCGTAGCACAAGCAATAACCTTCCCTCACTACTTGTACCGATAGCTGACTTACTCTGCAGGTGCACAGATAGGAAGCAGCCAAGGTAACTGCCCACCCATGTAGCCAAGACAGCATGATGAGTAAGAACCAGGAACTGGGGATAGCTCTCCAAATTCTTAGACTGAACTTTAAGCAAGACCTTTGATAAGCAAAATCTCCTTTATATCAAATAAAAGCCATTTCTTTAGTTAAGAACATCCCTCCTAATTCCACTCCTAAAACATCCAATCTGATATTTTTTATTGAGCAATGTCAGGATTTTATTTTGTGATTGATAATGATACTCAACAGACAATACAGAGCTAAATCTATTTGACAGTCATTTAATGGAAGATACCTAAAAGCAAACCTGTACCTCAGAAAAAAACCCAGGAGCTAGCAAAGATGCATAGAAAAATGTAAGCTCATATGGAAAGATTTAACCTTCAAATATTCTGTACATATTTCATCGGCACAGAAAATAATGCAATGCCAGATATTACTTTTTCCAAACAGTTTAAATTTATAATTATAAATTCCTACTAGTTCTCAAAAGAATACCATTTAAATTTTAATCCCATTGATATTACAGTGTTTCTGAGACCAAGCAACACACCAGTGTCTGGTGGAGATCAGGAACAAACACATACTGCACCTTCTGTGAGGGGATCAAGCCTTTTCCCACTGTTCCTCTCAATCAGCACAGTGTCTGAAGCATAAAGCACAACTAGGCACAAATAAAAGAAAAAGAAGAATAAAGTGTAGCTGCTGTTATTGACTTGCTTTATTTCCTGTAACTGTTTAGATGTATACTAGTATTAAAGATGGATTAATGTATTTCAAGCACATTTGCCTCATTCTCCTTTCCCAGTATTCTACCTGCAAATACTTCATTTTTAATCAGAATTTTGCTCCACCTCCTAAACAGTATAGTAGGATAAAATATACATTAATCCAGTCCTGCACCCATGAGTACTAGCTGTCGCCACCATCCATACCAGTTAACAAGGTTCTTCCTCACACTGTATTTGGAGCCTAGGACAGATGCACCCACAGATCGCTTGAGACTTATTTTCTTCTATACCACAATTACTTTTCACCCAGGTACTGTGGTAGCAAGACCAGTGAAACAATTTTTGATAACCTCGCAGAAAAGTGTTCAAACTTGATTAGAAAGCATCAAACAGTGGAAAATCTGTCAGTTCCCTAAATTGCTTTTGGATAATCATCCTCACAGTTAAACACTGTAATTTAATTATTATTTTCAGTGCATTCAATTACAGGTTTCAAACAAGTTCTTATGACTTCTCTGTATCAACTAGCTCTTTCAGACGCTTTTCTCCCTATTAAGGTACTCATACAACGTAAATCTCATCTCCTCTCAATCTTCTTTTTGATTAACTAGACTGAGCTTTAAGACTCACATTCTGGTCTTGGTTGCACAGATATAATTGTGAGCAAAACTCAGCTTCAGAAGTTATTAGCTATATTAAAAATACATGCAAGTACTAGACATTAAACAGTTTTGCCTAACTCTGTTGCAATGATTCTGAATTCTTCATTAACAGTCGAATCTCATCCAAATCAAATCCAAAGTGACAATTCATCAAGTTCGCTAACATTCTGTTCGCTATCCACTGCCAAGCTCTACATTTATCATTACACACTGTATTCCACACAATCATCATAATTTCTTACATGCTAAGTAGGTTCTCTAACTACATTAATTTGGGACAACTGTCTTCTAGATGGCAAGGGCAGCTGTCAAGGTCTTGTCTATCAGCACTTTGCCAGTACACAAATGTTTCTCTCAAGTGAAGTCAGATACCACCCATACTCTGAAAGGTCAAGCTTAAAAGCACGATGTTTCCAATTGGTAAAGTTTGCATCCTCTAATTCAACAGAAGGATGAATTTGTATTTGGTACATGAGGAGTTGTTTTGGTCTGAGGATAAAGGCTGACTTCTAGAGATAGAAGTCAGAGAAAACTTAGACCCACTCCTAGAACAGAAGCAAAGCTACATATAGCTGCCCAGAGACACTTGCTGGAGTGGTCTTGAATTTATAGAACGCTAACGTGTAGGAAGAAAAAGGTTCATGTGTGAAAGACAGGGTTTAGAGTCTCACAGGTTACCTCAAGTGTTTGAGTGAATCTGAACCATACTGAAACATTCTCCTGTCTGGTGACTCTGTTGTCTTCAGTACTGGTAATTAAATTTATTGTGTATTTTTGGGGAGAAAGACTTCTGGTTTCTCCCACTGGATGCAATCATATATAAACCTTGTACTGCTTACCAACATGCCTAGGAATGATGCCAGATGATTGCAGCATCCATGCCTGTTCCTGATTTTCAGGGAAGCCTTCCAAAATCCATCCCTATTGAACAAAAACATGAAACAGTTATTGATCCTGGAAGAGAAAAAACAACATTAGCACTAAATATCAGTGCTATTTGAAGAAAAATTACCTCATTCTGATCCCACAATAGTACAGTAGTTGTTATGGATGCTTGTGAGAGAAGAAAGCAAACATGGAGCACTGATATTTTTGTGAAATACCACTGCCACAGAACAAAGGGAACTTAGGTATTGTAGCAATGAGGTTTTTTTCATGTTTCAATCTTAGAAAAAAGAATAAACTTCTATCTTGAATAAAAACAACCCAAAACAATTTCTACAGTTTTGAAATATTCAAAAGGATACCAGCCCACACTGTGTATAAAAAAGAGGCTAAACAAATCTAAAGACAGATTTAATGCCAAGAACACTGAGGAAAATATGCACGCTTTCATTATTTTCTTAAATTATACAGGAAAACTCACAGTAATGGAACCAGCATTCCCAAAGCTAATGAAGCAACAGAGCAAAAGAAAGAAAAAAGAAAAAAGAGCCTTTTGCTCCCTTAAGTCCTTGTTATAGCCAGCTAAGTGCTGGATTGAGCATCTTTAAAAAAACATTTACAGATCTGTGAAATACCATATGAGAGCTGCCGTCTCACTCAGTTTCTGTGTGATGCAGTATCTGAAATCTAATCCACTTCCCAGTCTAAAGTATGAATCTTCTGAACTTGCTCTAATTTATCTGTTAGTTCCTTAACCACGCACATCCTTGTCACTATATCCTATACCTCAAAATAACTTTGTGATAGTACAATAAATCTGGAAACTGAAACAAAAAAGATATTTTAATGTTGCACTAGCTAGCAGTCATCATCATCTCCCACATAAATTTGAAGTTCTGTCAGTATGGGGTCCAAAGGTTTTAGAAGTATTTCAGGGAAACATATTTCCATGACTTTTGTAGAAAGAAATTGGGACATTGCAATTATACAATAAAATAGAGTAGACTATGTGAAATTCCTTAATTAGCCTGGTTTCAGGTACATGTCATCCTGCTGATATCTGTAGAAAATAGGAGACTCAAGTAACTGCAAGCCATTTTTGCCACTCCCATTGTTTGCTCTATCGAATTAGAATGAACCGCTGGCTAAGGTCACACAGGTGCTGAGAAATCAATTTATCCCTTGGGACTTGCAGGAAGAAAGGCTGCACAATATTTTTAGTGGTATGCTAGGAACTTCAGCACTAGTTCTGAATATATTGCGCCTGTACAACATATATATAGGCCCAAATCCTCTTCTAGGGAGAAATGGCATTAGAGGTATGAAGCCAATAAATCTATGCCAATTTACACAGACTATAAATCTGGCTCATTTTCTCCACTCCAAGTGCAACACTTGGAAACTAAACCAAAGCAAACGAGAACAGCCACCCCACAAACCCATTACTTTGGATGTCACTACAGCTTATTGCTCAAAATCACATATTGAGCAACAAGCAGTAAACACAATATTGTATTTTAACAATGTATAGCAAACTTCAAGAGGTTTATAAACAAATTTCAATGGTCCTTAAAACAAGCAATAAGCAATTTTATAGCTAAAAGTTTTATGCAATGTAAGAAAACATAGCTCAATAAATAGCTTCCTGCAACAAATAGGTTTTAAGGCATTAAACAAACACAAAATAAACACACACTACAAAAATAGTTAGCATTTTGGATCTTTTATCCAAAGGTCTCTGAGTTCCAGGGTATCAGTCAGTGTCTAATTAGAATACATTATCCATCTACTTGACACTTCAGTGAAATGTCTATTCCACCACAGAGCTGCAGCTTTGTTCAGAACAGGTTTATTGATATTCTGCTGCATTCCCTCTCCATACCCCCAGTGGCTTGGTTCTGTTTTATCACACATCAAAAAGGCCGTATGCTCAGGGCACCCCATGCACAGCTCAGAGCTGGAGGTCTGAACAGCTGCAAGTAGTATGGTATCACAGGAGGGACAAGCTCCAAGCAGATGTCACAGATAAAAAAAAAAAAAAAAAAAGGAAAAAAAAAGAGTAAAAAGGGAGTGTGGCTTGGGAACGAAGCAAGAGGAAGCAAGACACAGCAGAGCAAGACCTGACTTAAAATATGCCTATCATGCTTTATGCAAACACTGGTCTTTTTTGCCCTCCTGACTATCATTAAAGTGTAATTAGTAACTTCACATGGTAAATTTGTTTCTTTAAGAAGCCATCTATTTTGTGTTCTTGAAAGCAGTAACCTTACATCCATGCATGGAATCCACCTTATCACATCAAGGGTGGAACAAAGGCTAAAAGTCAGTAATTCCATGGTGCCTTTAGTCTGTGGTCACTGTTCCCCCTCTTTCAGCTGGAAACCTCAAGCCTTCCTTAGGTGAAGACTGCTGTAAAGACAGTATTCTGCTGTTGCCTTAACGCCAGGTGAAGCGCTCCTTGGAGACCCATGCCATGCTGAAAATCAGCAACAAGGAAGTACTTTCAAAGCCATCACTTTTCTCTCCGGATTTAAGGAATCTGGAGAGAAGAAAATGCTCAAGGTCATTCCCAAATGTAAATTTCACTCCTTTGCTCGCATTACTCTCAGCTATACCACCAAGCCTACATACTTTCACACTTGCCACCCCAATAATAATTACTTGGGCATTCAAGTTCTCTCTTGTTATTTCAACTGTACGTCCTCTTTTTTTTTTTTTTTTTAATTACAAAATCCAAAATTGACACTGCCTTAGAATAAGGAAAAGGGATAGCAAGATCAAAGGTTATGATTGCTTCTGCCTCTAGGAAAACAAGTCATCACAACAGTTAATCCACATCATTATTCACTATTTTTAAAAAAGTATTACATGTCTTTCACTCCCATCTGAAGAAAGGGGATAGACAATAATGCAAAAAAATATTATCAGTAATAGCTTTGCCAGTATGGATCTAAAATTTCTGAGATTTTCAGAAAGCGGCAGACTGAGGAGTGCAGTAGAAGCAGTCAGCTCAGCTCCTGCAGTCCATCAACATTAGCAGTACGGATGACAGAAGAAGCTCAAACTTCACCAAATTTCCCATCAGAAAGAAACTTTTTTTTCCCCACATTTTTGTTGGTTAAGTAAGCTGTAAAGGTATTAAAAAAAAGAAAGCCACATTCTTTTTGGAAAACAATAAATATGGTGAATAGGCAGATTCTCTCCCCAGATAAATCTAGGTAACATCATTATCCTTGCATGGAGTTTCACAGAGACAATATGATCTTTATTTGCCAAAGTAAAACCAGAAAGAACCAATAGCCATTGCTCTCTTTGCCTTCCTTTTCAAGGATAGCCACTGCCCTTCTGAACGGTTTAATACCAATCAAAAGTAATTCTGCCACTTCTTGTGTGAATCACTGGCCTAAGCTTAGTTTCTAAATGGTCCTAAGACATCAGTAAGGTTGCTCAGCTTTCTCTCACAAATTCATCATGTAGCAATCTCTAGCCTCCTCCAGTTCTATAAATTCCCCCCACAACAGCAGCAGTCAGAGGTGCCGTAGCCAACATGTACTAACCCTCTAAGATGAAGAGTCTTCATATCAGCTTCACACGTCCCAGGTTCTAACATAATGCTTGCAATAAGTTTTCTGTGTATGCTGGAAGACCTACCCGTCTGATCCCTCGCAGTCCTAACTACATTTGTATTAGAAGAACACATAACACAGAGTCTCAGCAGAGCTGTTGATCAATAAAAATGTTCTCCTTAGAGAATGCCTGTGACATCTATAAACCTGTGAGTGTCAAAACAACGGCACAAAAAATTCTGTATTCCTACTGTCAGTGGGATGAAAGCTGTACAATTAATGCCAAGCCAATGACACCACAAGGAGAAATAAAACAAACAGCTGGCGGTACTATGGTCCAACATACTGCTCCTAATCTATTAACATTTTCAGTAAAAAAAATGCTGACTCATGTTTTGAAAGAAATGGCATAAATCTGTTCAGTGATGTAAACACTCCATAGTATTAATTGTATTTTCAGCCGCACAAGGAAAATATTGCAATTAAAATGCATAGGCCCCCTTTCAAATGGAAAAGACATATATAACAGGAGGAAGTTTTAGTGACCATGAATTACTATATATTAATTAAAATATTCCTAATAACCATCACAACTTTTAAAAGTCAATTATGTGTTTTTCCTAAAAACAGCTGAAACCTTAACCAGATCAATAACATCCACTCTATTCTTGCTGAGTATCGAGGAAGCTTTATAAAGGGTTTGTTTTCCCCCTACTTCTGTAAGACATCCAGCACTATTCAGTGTTGCTGATGATAACAACAGGAACATAAAATGTAGGTAGGACACTATGCAGCTGTTGGCATTTTAACCATCTTGGCACCTTACTCAGAGTTTACATGACCTAATACTTAAAATAACAGTCACTGAGCCATCCTTTTCTTGCCATTAAAAGGAGAACTAGAACCATGCCAACAATTACAGAAAGCATGGGGCAAAGAAAGCATAGTATGGATGCAGCCTTTGGATAGCAATGGATTTTGCTTATATACTGATGATGGTTAGTAAAGCTCACTTTAACAGTATCACAACAAAGACTGGAAGAGTTAGCTGTTGAAAACATACGTTCTTTTATTCAGGCAGAGACATGCAAAAAAATAAGCACACTGGAGAGGTTTTACAGCTACTGCTATAAAAGCTCTAAACTGAAGAGTTATTCACCTACTTGCTAGTTTACAGCAACTACTGCCATCCAACAGCTCCCCTTCAGAAAGCATTAGAGGACAGGTTGCCCCAGCAACTACTAGCTTTGAGAGATCATGTGAGAAAATACTTAACCTAAAGTATTGCAAATACCAGGGGTACCCTGACATCTCCCCTGTCCTACCTGCTAACTACTGGTAGCACAACCAGAGAAACTGTTAGTGTTAAGGTGAGGGGGGGCTTGTTTTTGGGGTCTGAAACCAGCCTAACGCCTAGCAGCAGTCAGAAGAGCAGCTTCTCTCATGGGTTTATAATCTTTCTAACTTACTTTCATTTCTACAGGTTTAAAGATATTTTAAACCTACTCACTAGAGAAGTTTCACTTGAGATAGATGTTCCACATCTTGCCACAAAGACAAGGTAGTAAATCATACAATCACCTGACTTGCTGTATATCCATGATACCTCATTGCACTGCTTACATAAAAAATGTTGACATTCATAGTCTTTTTTTGCTGCTCATTTGCTAGTATATCCAGAGCTGACAATATTGATTTCTCAGGTGTTCCTCAGCTACACTCTTTAATTCAAAATGCCACAAAAATGAACAAGATGCTACACCACATGCATGTTTTGAACAGATTCTCCTGTAAATTGAAAGGCCTAAGTCCTATGTGAATTTAGTACAGATAAACAAATACATTAAGTACTACCAGATATTTGATTTAGAGAGTTAAATAACTATTGTCAGTCAAAATAAAATAAAATAGATCAGCTAAAAAGATCTTCCAGAGAAACCAGACAGACCCATGTAATTCAAGCACAGTGACTAGCAATGCGAAAGTTTAACTCTACTTTGCAAATTAAAAGTTAATAGATGGAGTAAGGTATACAGTATTTTGTAGAGCAAAACTGATGACCCTTAGGTTTTCTGCCAATCTCTCTAGTCCTTTCATTCCAAGGATCCAAAAATCATAGTTTCAATCTCCCAGATGATGAAGCATGGAGTAAGAAACACAGAATCCTAAAACACACAACAAATGGTCCATTTGGAAAAGAAGGAGCCAGTCATGTCCATTTACATAATGAACTAGAAAATTCTTCCACAGTCTTCCCAGTCCTCGATCATACCAATGTAGGGAGAGAGACAACAGCTAGGTTTAGGAAGAAAATAAGAGCTGGAACTAAAAGCAGTGTGTTTTGCCTAAAACCCGTGGCTCATCTGCATGTCAAAGTAGATTTTATTAGTTCACAGTAAGTGGAAAGAAGGCAGGAGGGGGCATCAGAAAAATCCACACTTCTCCATTTATAGTTGCCAGTACATTTTAAAATCCTAACATCCTGACAATTCCCCATGTAAGCAAATACTGGTGCAGTTTAAAAGCACATGGCTCAACTTGTCCCTGTGTTACTCCAAAGTTTCAGGAATTCAACCCCATGAATGTCAATAGAATTTATATCTGATATAAATCCAGAATAATTTAGAGATGAGCTAGGTTTCTGTTTCATTAATTCCCCTTCAGGAAAAACAATTGCTTTGAAGGAGGAGGAATCCTATACCATCATTTGTAAATATGTATGGGAGCCAATCCCAAAGTTTTGTTACAGTCTGTTAAACCAGGATTTAGCTAAAAATGCAACAAGATGTTAAAAAATCAGCCACATAAACATATTTACTCCTTCAGAGCTTTCTCTACTGACAGAAAAGGAAGGACTTTTATAGCAAGATACTTCCCAATGCAAATAAGGGCACTGTCACACACACTTCTATGACCTAGCAAAAGAACAAGATTAGCTGGGCAAGGAAAGGTTTGTTTTAGCTTAATGACTTTTCTTAGTAAACACCAGCAGGTAGTATTCTAAATTAAATTCTCATTCAACCAGTGGATTAGATGATGAGATAGGTTGAAGTTTAGAGACCCACATACTACCTATTTTGCTATAGCTATATGTTTGCAACAGAAATACAACTGATAGATGTCCTCTAGCAAACTTCATAGACAAGAACAATTTAAAATATCACATCTCCAGCTATTCATGACCATCCTGATCAAGCTATCCTTTCCACAGTTCGTACGCTATAACTGACCATCTGATCTAGCTTGCACAAGGCAGGTCCATTGAAAGCCACTTCCATCCGTGGCTTAAGCTAAGATAGATGACTTTGCATTGAAGTACATGATTTCCCTGGCAATCATTCACAATATGGGAATTCTAAAAGCCAAAACGTTCAATCAGGGGCATAAATTTTTTTCAATTCATCCTGCTGGTTTTGTTGACGTTTCTCTATAGACACCTCTGTGCTACAGAATTACCATCTTAAAAACTACTAGGCAATGGTCCAGCCCCCAAGATGATTTTGTTTTACATGGATGGAAGGATTCAGTCTGCAGATCATTTCAGACTACACCAAAAATCATGGAGACAGGGAAAGAAGTACAGGACATAAGGTTTTCAGCATTTCTGGTTTCTTTCAGTGCCTAATGCTGAGAAGCTTTAGGAAGCAATTTCCACATTTCAATGAAATGTTAATTACCAACCCTGCTTTATTCAGCCAACAAGGTAGATGATGATGAAGTTGAGAAGCAACGGATTTTAATAAAACTATGAGCCTTGTGATATCTCTATGAGGTCAGGAAGTACTAGTTATCCCCTGATCCAAAGGTGTGGGTGTGACAGAGGGACCGTTCTGAAATCACATACTATTCTTCTGAAAAAAGCTGTTTAGTCCTTCCTGAACATAACACCTACTTTGGACTGGAGTTCTTCCACTCAAGAAACTCATGAACTAATTTGACGTCCATATTTTTGCACTGTTTAGAAACAGGGTTTTGTCCATTAGATTAATTTGTCTCTTACAAATAATCCCTTATAATGGACTGATTATGGACTCAATAAAATATAACAACATCTGAGATTTTAAAGGAAACACATAAAAGAGATTTTGCTTTTCTTGAGTCCAGACATTAATTTCAACTGATATTAATCAATTTAAGTTCTCTTTGGGTTTATGTCAAAAGTCTCTACTCACATTAAGGCTAAGCACACAGGGAAAAAAAAAAAGCCACACATCTCTGAATACAGCTAAACCTATTCAGTTGCCTATTTGTGTAAACTAACAGTGAATGTATTAATTACTACCTAGAAGAGAATATATTCCAATGCAGTTTTTCCTAACACAGAAAGAAAAAAAAGACACAATGAGAAATAAAGAAAATTTAAGTGAGTAATGATAGACTCTTCTTTCCTTCTTTCCTCAATAAAAGTTAAAATCTTAACTCAACATATTGATTTTTATATATTTTCTGTTTATCTGTTTTGTCCACTGTATCTCTGCCAGTTGCCCCAGGCAATCAACAAAGCTATGCTTGTTCAGCCTTTGATCATCTCTGTGCTAGAAGATTAGCATATGTATACTCTCATCCTCCCCTTTATCCTGTTAATAAAGCTCCAAACTCCCTCTGCTGATGTTCAAGAAAGCAATCCGCTCCAGAGCCCCCAATGATTTGCCCCCATTCCCTCCTCTGCTCAGGACTCAGAATGCTAACTACTATGCACGAGTTGTGTAAGTGCTTATCCACCGGCCCTCTGAGGAGCAATTCTTACTTGTTTGATGCAGTCCACGTTTGACAGACGTTCCTGGATCAGATTGGCCCAAAGCGCGTTGGGAATTTTCTAAAGAAAGAACAAAAAAAGGCTGAATATTCACAATTGAGTTCAAAAGGAATTTTACCATACAGGCATATTCCGGTTAAAGGTGAAGTGAGATGTCTTCTTAAAAATAAATAAATAAATCTGTGCAAGTCCCAGGTCATTAACATAATATATCAGAGAGTTAATAAGGGCACAGAAATCAGTGTTAAAGGTAAGCTGAACACAAAGCCTACATCCGTGTGTTTTGCACACTAACATGGAAGAAGTGCCAAGTTTTGCACATTCACACACACATTGGACATCAAACCTGCAAAGGCATGCAGAAGAACATCACATCCACAAGTAGTCCTTTTTACCACAAGTATGTGACCCACTACTGCTTCATGTGTCGGTGGACTCAGCATTAGTGATTTTAACAACTATTACTTGAGACAAGCAGAATCTCAAACACAGAGCAAAAAAAAAAGAGACTGATTTTCAGGAGGTTTGTTTCAGTTTCAAGTAACTCTCAGTCTTTCATCATCCAGAAAGTTTATTTAAAATACATTTTATGGTCAATTTTAAAGTTCGTTTATTTTTAAATTCAGGACTGTGAATCAGTGCCAATATTTTCAGAAGTGCTCTTTCTTTCTGTGACTATTACTTTGCCCATATGTAGAGATGTTTTGTAAGACAGTATTTGCTGTCTGACAGAAGAACAAAGTTCCTCTACAGATTTAGCCTTCCTCTCTCCTAATATTTCTTCCATTATTATATTTCCTGACAAGAAATTAACAATACCCTTCCTTCCTTCTTGCAAGAATTTTCTTCACTATCTTGTTAATTTAGGCCTTCATTCTATGCTGAACTTGATTAAACAAACTCTATGTTAGCTGTTTTAACTTGATAAAGTCTAAACCTTCGGCCATGCCAGTCAGAAAAGCTGTTAATCATTTGACTATATGCCTTGTCTCAGTCTCATTCATTCTGTCATTATTGGTAAAATGAATACTCAGAAAAAATTCTGCAGATTCTCTATTTCCCAAGTCAAAAAATTATCTTTCACTTAAAGACATGAGCTTGATTCTGTTCCATGCAGTTTCATATATTGTGGGTACCCATTTCTTTTTTCTGACTAGTCTGAAGGGCATAATCCTAAAAAAAAAAAAAAAAAAATTCTGTAGGCTTATGTTATACAAAAGGATGTCATTTGATATAATGAAAATGTGGCCGATTATGCAAAAAGACTTCATAGCAATCTTCTTCATTAGATCATGAAACCATTTCACCAGGAGTGGTGGAAATGCTACCACACGAGTTACTGTAGAGGAGTGGAGAAAGCAATCCAGAATACACAAAAGAGACCAGTTCTCGTCTGGCTGTGGAACAGACAAGGTGGCCCAGTCGGGTAGTGGGTTTTCATGTTTTGTTTATCTCTACTGTCCCCAGTTCACAGTGCCTTTCCTAGTATCAGCCATTCATAAGGCAACGTTCAGGCAGGTAAAAGAGAAAAAGGGAAGGAAATTGCTGTTTCTTGAGAGTCAGCAGGTCCCACAGGGTGGTGTGTCAAAGCCTCCTGCAGCTTCTCTCTGCTGGAGCCTGGGTCTGTGGCTTTGAGTCTGTCACCTTCCAAAGGTACATCACGCTGCTATCAGAAACAGCTAGTGTCTGTCTTACTTCTTTGATGTGTCATGTCAAGACAGGCTAGCAACTGCCGGAGGTCCACTCTGCTAAGCCTTGCCAAACCAATTTAAACCAAAATTATACTAACTTCTTTCAGTGTGGTAGTATTCTTAGTCCTCTCTTTCAAGCAGGGTTTATTGCACAAAACCAATCAAGGACACACATGTGGGTATTTCAGTGTTTTAGTTCCTTCTGCTCCCTGTGGCTCCATTCCAGACTCATTTCCTGGTCAGTTCTCCTACTGAGCAGTGGCCTACAAAATCATTTTCAATAGGCTGTTTGCAGAATGCCGAACTGTTCAACTACAAATCATTAAATCTGATACATATCAGATAGCACGTTTACAACTTCTCTCTCATAATCACTCACATAAACACGTCATGAGCCTGGCAGATGCGACTGCACCTCCCAGAAATCTGCAATAATGGACAAGGACACACATACTTTTGATAACTGCAGAACCATATCTTATCTAAGGCACTCAGAGCCTGTCCCAACATTCAGTTTAGATAATGTAAAGACTTGCTGCTATAGTATTTTGTTTATGTTCTAGACCACTCTTCTATACATACAGGTTTAATCACTATTTCCATACTGCTGAAAAACTATACTAATTCATGATTGATTTTAAACATTCCATGTTATTTCAGGGACATCATACTTCAACATACATGCTTGATCTACTCAGAGTTATATTTCAGTGATCTTTTCATAAAACTGCTACACTTTTTTTTTTGGGGGGGGGGGGGAGCACTTTCACTAGACTTTTTATTGGAAGTTTGGGATGTTTTTATTCTAAAAACATCTACAGCTAAAAACTGACATCTCCAAGTCCACACCCTGGAGGTAAAAGCAGCCAAGTTTGAAGAAACTGGGATTAGTATTCTGAGAATCATGAATGTTTAGATGTAGCTTGTTCAGATAGATACACATGAAAGACTGGTCTTTTTTATGTATACACAAGACTGGAACAGTTCCTATTTGTTCCTTCATAGTGGCTTGTCCTGGAATAGATTAGAATGCTGAACATGTATAGATAAGGATGCCTTGGGTCTTCCTCTCTTTTATTATATTTCTTCTTAAAAAGCACAGGGATATAATGCAACTCTACACCAGTCTTAAGTCATTAAGTAGTATGCAAACACTTTAACTGCAATTTAGCATAGCATTAAGAGCACACCCATCCCACAAGCCCACAATTAGCACAGTTGTTTCAACTTCTTATTTTATCCGGTTAACAGGAAAAGTGAAACACGCAATAGCTCATCATTAGACTTCACTATAGGAAAAACCTGAAGGTGCTTTCTATTAACATTATAATAACTAGAGATGAGGGAATAATTTGCAATGATTTATCAAAAAATGTAGCTTCTTTTTCTGTTCATGGAATATTTATTGATAGCTCGTGGTTCTTCAAATGTATTGAATATTCAAAAATATTTTACTTCTTTTTGGAATATTTTTACTTGCAGCATGATCGCATTTTGCTTTGAACAGTCAATATTTAAAATTCACTACCTGAACTGTGCTCATTAGTAAGTGGCCAGGTGTGTGTTAGTGAATGATTGCATGTCCAACTTTAAAAATTGAGCTTCAGAGAATAATCACGTATTTTAAATATACCTTCCATGAATTCTTGTGTCAGGAAAACTCAAATGCTTTAATGTTCCCTGGGAGCAAACACAAAAGAGTTGAAAGCTTGGCTAAAGATAAGTCAAATATGTGAACAAACATTTGTGGACCTTTTTGCAGCATTTGCCCAGATCTAGTAACACTGGCCTACTGACCTAAAAATGAATGACCTTTGGCACTTGGGTTAATTTAGCCACAGTAACCTTATATGCATGAAACGTTCTTCTGACATTAAATTACGTGATACGATCTTCACATGAGACTTTTAAAAACACCATCTTAGTTCCCATTTTTCCTCTTCCCATTTAGTAAACGGCTTTGGCAAGGACTACAACTTTTTAATGCCCTGGTTATATCAAAGATAGCATACACAGCTATTGTTCTGTCCCTGAGTAGACATTCAAACCCTGTTGGTGCTAATGGATGTTACGTATGCTAGAGGAGTCAAGTTTACCACTTGCTTCAGCAGAACCAGGAGTCACTTATGGCAATAGTAGATTTAGCCAGCAGGCATGAATCAGTAATGGAAAATACAGCTCTTGAGATGACAAATTTGCTACATTTTAAGTCACTGTAAAATGTGCATTGATTGAGAGGAAGCAAGGAGTTTCCTCCTAGTTTTAGGAGTTACATTTGAAGAATCAAACTCATATAAAAGAACAAAAGAAATGATTCAGTGAAAACGTTCTTCTAGGATCTAACATCTCAAAAACAAAGGCAAACTGCACAGTACTAAACTACCATCAGATTCTGCTCTTCGGGCACTCCTTACTACCTGATTAGCCTTGACATTTTTGACTTTCATCTTTCACACCATCCATCTTTTTAAATCAAATAAGCCCAAAAGGACACCCTTGAAAGTGCATCTGTATAGTCTGAAATATGTTAATAATTACAGTAATTAAACCAAAGGGAATTTTTGTTTTAAATTCTCCCCCTCCAAGTTGAAAATTATGAACCTAGCAAAACAATCTTTAATCATTAGAATGAATATTTCAAAGTATATATTCTCAATAAGAATAATTTCATATCATTCCAGCCAAAAGCAAACGTTTTTGCCAGTAGGTTCAATGAGTTCAATGAACTCTTTCCTCTCAGATCTTTAAGTATATTACTTGAGGCATCTCCAAAAGTCATTCACCAATTCAGTATAATAAAAACTACCCTATTTTCCCCCTAATTTTCTACAGAAAAATAAATTAATCTGTATATCACACCATCTACCATCTCAGCAAATTAGGAATCTGTTGGCCAATTCCAAACAAATTTAGCAGGGCTGTGGAATTGTCACAGATATGAAATTGCTTCAATTTTTATGAAAACAGGTGACAAGGGAGAAGAGATAAACTCAAACTAGTGGACTAGCTAGAGTGCCACAGAAAACCATACTTCTTCTACTCTATTACTCATGAAACACCTTGACATCTGGAGAAAGGAATCAACTAAAAGGGCAGGAATCAGAAGCAGCGATGATTCCATGTATTCAGGATATTCTTTCAACATATTTTTCCAATCTACTTGTCACTAGCCTTTAATAACAAGACAATTACATTGCTGATTGACTAATCCTGTGAGACATAACATCTGGAAAAAATGTTCTTCAGACCAACTCCTTTGAACATTAATTGGGAGGCCCACAATGAAGCATGAGTAGATTTAAAAACCTGTCTGGAGCGACCTAGGTATTCAGAATTGGGTAGAACACATCAGCCCAAGAACTGACTGATCTCCAGACTGCTGCTACTGCTTCAGCTTGAGCGCTTCTAGGGTGTTCAGTAACTGACTGGATAGTCATACTCCTGAGTTAATGCACCAAGTTAGTTGTGTCATGCTAGAGAGAAATCAAGCATGCACAACTAAGTAGCACTGTCACATCAAAAAAAGTTCTGTGTGTACATATTTTCCAGAACGTTTTGTACCGAAGGAGACCTCAGAGATTCATGCTTATTTTATTGAGATTATCAAACATGCTGAAATAGAATATGTTTTGTTTAATGATATAGTGAGCCATTCTTTAAATTGTATTGTGCATACCTGGACTTCTCTCAAATACATTGCTCATGTCTAAGATTACTGTTTTCAAGACTTCCATTACTTTATATTGTCTTCCTCGCCTACCCCCATTCTGTGCCCTGACACATTTTTATTTTTGTTCATATCTTATGTAGGAGAGGCTACCCTTCTTCTTTGAAACTGATAACTACATATACACAAACCAATGTACAAACCACCATAGATATAAGAATATTTACTCTGATCTGCTCAACTCATAGTGGTGGAAATCATGGGAATGCCATATAATTCCTCTTCTGTGACATCGGAACTACTATTATTATATCCTCTTACACACCTGTTTTCTTTCTTTATATGCTTTTGCTTCCTTTGTTAGCTCTAATATTTCCTTGAATAACAAAGTCTCCTGAGAGATACGTATGGCATCCAAACGTTTACAAAGCCACATTGCCTGAGGGAAGAAGAAGAAAAATAAACAAACAAACAAACAGGTCAAAATATTTGGAAAGAAAATGAAGCATTTTTTTCAGAAGGCTGCAGAAAGACACAGAGCATTATCCTAGCTTTCCATTTAAGTATACAGCCTATATGTGTAACTTTAAGCAGTTTCTTACAAAAATGTTCAAGAGTGTACAGCTTTGAATAAGGTCTTTTTCATCTACTATAACACAGATTTTAGAGAAGAAAGCATTCTTCCTAGCATGCACACACCACCATCTGCAGTTTGGCAATGCAAATGGAGCAATCCACAATATGGGAATACCACAAACATGTAACTATGATACTTCTCCCAGGTTAACTAGTCCTGCTAAAAAGCTGGGAAAACAAGGCAGGCAGAATTCTGTTGCATTACAGAAGTATCACTACCACTACCTGATTGAGTTCTCAAGGACCTTGCTTGAACATTTCCATTTAACCTAGAGTGCAATATACAGGCATATCCCTTAGGAATACCACGCTTCAATTTGTCTTGTGCTCTTCTATCACTTAGATAATTCTGAAATTTATTTTCTCAGAATAAAATTTTCACAAATGTTGAGCTCAATAGAAAGTAAAACGGTAAGTGGGCAGTATTACAACATTGAAGGTAGCATACTTACAACTGTAGTTTTCCCAGAAGCAGGTGGACCAAGTACACAAATTCGTGGAGCTATGAAACAAGAATATGTGAATGTCAAGATGCAGAACAGCAAAAATCCCAGCCAGTTTCCCACTATTTCATTGCATAATACAAGTGCAATCAGGATACAACAATTATTTCAGCTGGAAATCTGCCTGAACGGAGACTTCAGGATTGGGCTCCACTGGAGGAAAAAAGGGGGAACACTAAACCAATGCCAGCTAGTTATTTCTTTAATCTTCATGATCAATGAGATTAATACTCTGACTAAAAATGCCACTTAAAGAGATATATGACTCTCAATCAATTTAAGCACATGGATAGTTTAGTGGAAGAACCAGAGCATAAGATACAAACATTTCCTTACCTGAGTTTGACTTTTATTCCCAAAACATTGATTTAGACCTAACATATTTTGTGATAAAAATATATTTTAGCTTGTACATGCAGGACAAGACTATTTGAAAGTGACTATTACCAGAATCATAGAATGGACAAGATTGGACAGGGCTTCTTGAGATTGTCTCTTCTCTCATTTCCCTTACACAGTATGGTAGTAAAAATACTTCTTTCTTTGGCAAAGCTCTTGGCTCTCATTACAAAAAAATGCAATTTCACTTTTTAGTTTCATCTAAATAGGTTGTGTCAGGGTTTAGAGAAGATTTAGATACTGCAAAATTAAGCACTCTACCCTTTTTGACAGCTACCTTCAATTTTTCTAGTCATCATTAAAAGTAATTTTCTTCATCTCTGTATCTTATGTTTCTCTACTGCACGTCCCTCTCCTTTCCCTGAGGGGGCAAGTTGCGAAAAATGCATTCCAGTTCTGAGGAAATCTTAATCTAATGCATACAGACAACACAGTAGGCATTACCATTGTAAGCTTCATTGGGAACGAATTAGAAGCAAGACAAACAAGGGAAAATAGAGTAACTCTTAGGAAAGTATTTGGGACTTTTCCCATGAACACACCTTTTGCTGCAATCCCTTGAGCTGTCATTTTACATTAACATCTTTGATGTTTATTCCCCTATACCTTGGGAAAAAAAAAAAGAAACAAAACAAAACAAAAAAACACAAACAAACCAAAACAAACTATATATAGAAGAGACTGATGAGTATTACTGGGAGTAACATAGGTCAAAACAGATGAGGGATCTACTCACCCCAAAACCTTTTCAGCTCTTGATAACCAAGGGAGATACAGTGTCTGATGGCAGCAGACAGGGAAGGATGTGAAATGTATTTTTATGAGGCCTTCCATGCACTTAACAGTTATTGGGCAGGTGCAATTTTTAAACATACATGAAACCCAAATTACAGATTCATCTTTACAAAGTTATCTGACTTGGAAGGTTTAAGAAAAACTCCCCCCTTATTGGTTCTTGCAAGTGCAACAGAACTAGTACACAATGTAGAAAAATACTTTAAAAGGATACATCAGCTGTTTTTATCGCCTAATTTCTTTCAAATGTAATGTGATTAAATCCTAGGGTTTTTTTTTTAATCTAACACCTTGAAACTCCAGCCCGGTACTTAGGAATTATTTATAAACAGCGTCATAAAAGAGTGCTTGGGTGCCAACACTAATCAACTTCTTCAAACCACTTCAAAGAAAATCAAAAAACCTTTCCATCCACAGATCCTTTTGAGGTTTAACTAGGAGCATGATTTAAAATTCACAAGAAAACCCTTAGGTATTGAAGCTTTAATACACAGCTTTCTTGGACAAACGTTTGATAAAAAACGAAACATACCATTATATACACCATATCATGCTTTAATATTGCCCAGGGCTACTGTAAATGCTCACTTTGTACTAAATCTGGTTTTCTCTCTGCTTAGTGGCTGGCAGCAGATGGGGCAGTGTAATTCACTGATTTACTCATTTGCACACTTGTAAGACTCCTCTAAAGCATTCTCCCTAAACATATGACACAAGGGCACAACCAGGACACCACTGTATGTAATGTTTAACCCCCTCCAATCAGCCAATAGTCAGTACTTCATACCGGAGATCTGAAACAGCAGCTAAATGAAGTCAGGAAAATCTAGAAAATGCCTTTTTCTTCAGTAACAGATCATATTTCATTCCATGTCTAGTCTTGATGAGATGTTATAGGATTTACTTTTCCAAGTAAGTTTTAACATTCAACAATAATTTTAGGAATAACAAAATGAATCCTGGAATAACACAAAAGAATGGCTGGACTCACTGAGTTCCATTTAAGTCCAAAAGATTCTATGATTAATATTAATGTGACAAAATTTGCTTAACTTGTAAGAGAAATCCTTTGTCAAACAGGAAAAACACAAAGTACATGATGAACATTCTTGTAGAACTTATTTACATTTCTTCAGAGGTTTGACGGTAAAGGAAGAACTCACAGAAATTCCACTTGGATCCTGAAAGCTTTTGTCATTAGCACAAACCAAGACACAATGTGAAAAACTAGCATATTTGTATATGTAGGAATTACCAGTCTTCATATGGTTCTTTAAGGTTTTTAGAAGGAACACGTGAAAGAACAATAGCACAGAGCCTTAAGAGCAAACACTTAGCCACACATTTGACCTACGAGATTTTAAAGACATTTGTAAGCTATAATCATAATTAGACTTGTTTATATTTTTAAGAATACTTTAGATCCTATTATTAATTAAAAAGGTTTTCTAACTCCACACCTGGGATAGATGCAATGCTTCTTTTCCACACATTTCTGTTTGAAATTTTCTCTAGGGCTAAAACTGTCTAGCAAGGCAAGATCATAAAAATTCATCACTTTACTGATGGCTCTAATAAGGTTTTTTTTCTTCTAAATAGTCAGCACCTTCCACCATGATCAAAAAGTAAAATCAACTCTGCTACAGATTACTGTTATATTATTTTCCATATAATTTATTCTTAAAACAACATTTAGGCTTTAATTTTAATTGGAGCTCCTTTACTTTCTTAATACGTTTTTCCAGACCAAAAGCAGACAGCATTTTTCCTTTGACAAACAACTGCTGTAGTTCTATCTTTAGCCTCCGAGTACTGAAGTAATGAAATGGAAACCTGCCTAATTCTGTTCAAATAATACTGAGGAGCTTGAGGACAAATGTTAGCTCAATGTGAAGAAAATTTATCAGTATTCTATCAAACCGCATGAAATTCTTCCACATATTTTCCATGGGTCTATAAAAGAGATTGATTACTCATGCTGCCTGCATTATAAAAGGCTGGACACAATTTGCAGGATTTTTTTTTTTTTTTTCATATTTAGCAGCATTTCAGTCAACACCCATCTGATCACCACCACTAAAAGCTCACAGCACCTCTAGTGATAATGATTTCATTGATGCTGCAGCAGAACTTTTATAATGGTTTACTATGGTTTTAAAGAATCATCAAAGCAACATGACACCAGCTATCCCTGACAGCTCATGCAGAACAAAAATTATAGTTCAGTTGTGCATATCCAAATATAATCTGCCTAAGGGTGAACAGTTTGTAAATCAAGTAATTTGATTGAGTGTACATGCTTTTATTGTGCAGAATACAGACTTCCTATTCAATTTACTAGGTTTTGTTATACATACAAGTAGGCGTGCTCACTGTTCCTTCATCTGAGGTGCCACTGAGCAGTGGAACTCATTAACAGCAGCTAGTAACTAACTAATCAAAACCCAGAGAATCTGCCAGCCCAGGTAGAATAAGGAAGCCAAATTTACACCTGACAAAAGGAGTAATTAGCGAGCTTAAAGACAACAGGAAATATCAGATGGGGCACAGAACACATTAATAATTGATACACTAGAACTCTTTGTTATTCCCTTAGAGGGTTTCATTGTTATAACTGTTAAAGTGCATTTTTTATTAGATTACCCACTAAAAAAATAAATTAAAAGCATCTTACCTATAACTATTCCAAAACATTCACCTTTTTTTTTTTTGTTCCCCTCAAGACATAGTCTGAAAACTTTTATACATCATTTGCCAACTGAAATGCAGCTTTCAAACAGCTGTTTACAAATAAGTAATTGAACTATTTATGGTTTATCAACTTTCACTTACCATCATCGTTGTTTTGCTTTAAATGGTCTATCATATACTGTATGGGATCATCTGGCTTATGAATTAATAGTTCTTCAAGCATGTTCTGAAATAAATAGGACAAAGTCAGAGTGAAAATTAACATAGCTATGCGGTCATGATATATTGCTTTTTTTACAGCACTATTACAATGAGGGTTTTAAAGAGTTTATAAATGCTTATTTATTTTCTTAAGGCCCCTTTCACAGACAAAACTGAGAATATGAAACCTCTTTTAGATGCTGAAAAAGTGAAGTAAAGCATGGTCAGAAAATTGCCTATGAAAAATAATCTATTTGCTTTGGCTTATTTATGATACATACGGACACCAGAAAGGTTTGGCCTGGGGTTGATAACAGTTGAGTCAGCATTGACACAAAAAACATAAAAGGAGTTTCAAAACCAAAGTTAAATTAGTATCTCTGCAGGGCAAGTTAAACCTCCTTCTCAAGCACCTTCCTGCAAGTTTCTGACTAGCCTAGAGGACTGCAGAACGGCCAAGACCTGCAGAAAACACAAAACCAACCATCAAAGCCACAAAAGCAGCATATCTCACTTTTGTAACTGTACTAGTCTTCCTCCTACATGAAAAGCAAGGGTGGGGGGCGGGGGGAGAAATCTTAATGCATTTCCTTTAATGTCTATTTTGGAAGCCATTCTCCAATGTTTGAGATTATACAGGGCCTTGCTTCAGCTCCCACCGATAGCAGTGGGGATCTTACACTGATTTCAGTGAGGACTGTAGCTTTACAGGCAGATAAAGGAATAACACTGAGAAGCACTAATTCCATAGATTTTCTTACAAGACATTTGAGCACAGCCAAGAATGATGTAATTAAAACTAGACATCAAACAGCAACTAATGTTCTGACTTAGATTATCTACTGAAATGCTTGCACTGGAATAGGACATCTTTTTCTAAAAATCAGTCATAACACTTTAATATATGCAAGTAAATTCCATAAAGTCTGTATATTCCATAAAATTTTATATTCTAACCAATTGATTGTCTTTTATTGGAGTGGCCTATTTTCATTTTCTACTTATTCCACTTCATTAGAATAATTAAAACACTCAATTTTATTTATAAACTGTTTCACATGCAAGTTCGGATGCTTCAAGGTCTGGGTAGAACATAGCATAAAATATAACATTTGTATTTTTACTGGAAGTTCATTTAAAAATTATTACTTTCCAGCAACATTTATTTAAACTAAGAAATCTGAATTTGGTACTACAATTATCAGCAGCTTTAAAAATAACAAACCTAAGAAAATCTGGCTTTATTGCAATTCAGAATTATTCAGGCTGACAGTGATTGATACTTTTCCTATTTTCTGCCCAAGTCCTACCAGCATTTACATGCATGCTTCCTTTTATTCAGTTCTGCTAATCTCAGTTTAATTCTACACGAGCAGTTCTCTTAATCTCTAGGAGAGGTTCATGTTTTGGGTTTCACGTTTTAGGTTTCACATTTTGGGTTTTGCAAATGTGTAAGTTTAGGACAATAATGTCAAGCCGTGTTTGTTTGTACCATTATGTTGATAGAATACAACAGAAGCACGAAAATAAAACAAGACTCTAAGTAAACCCCATAAGCATTTCATGTAATGTGAGGTCTTGCAGCTGCATGCAATGCCTCCTGGCATGCAAAACACAGTATTCCCATAACCCCCCCCCAAATATTATGCCACACTGGTTATACCAAATGGCCTTGAGTTACATGAAAAAGAGAAAAAAAAAAGAATAGGAAATAAAAATAAGCATCTGTGTGTTTTTCAGTGAGATAGGAAAAAATGAAAAAGGCCTTATAACATCGCTGGAGTTAAGTTAGCAGCGGTACACAGCAGGGGTCTCTCTCACAAGTCCTCCTATCAGAATGGCACCAGAATATTTAGTCTCTTGCAACCAACCTCCTCATGCTTGTCAAAAGGGCTTTCTCCAAATTTACAGAACAAAACATACCTTTCTCTAAGGCAGGGAAGGCAATCTTGCTATTTACTGAAATCACAACGATGTTAGGAGTGTACTTTTTTTCTTTATTTTTGACACACATCTCCACAGAAATGCGACGACAGCAGCGGGAGAAACAATTTTAAAGGGATAATGCTGATAAAGGGGCAGCAACGCACCCGTTACCTCACCAGCTCAGATCTCAGGAAGGGCAAACCCCCTTCATCTCGGTTTCTCCCGGGATGAATTTGTTACTGCCTCCTCCCCGCCCCGTCCTGCCATTTCTTTCATGGACTCAACACCTTTCTTGCACAGGCTGCCGCTTTATTCCACAAAAAAACCGTACATGTCTGGACCCTAGCAATTGCCAGGCTATGATGAAAATAAGTGAATTAAGAGAGCCCTCGGCCGGTGCACCTTCCCTCACACGGGGAGCCCCGCCCGCGCGTTTCCACCGGAGCCCCGTACCGGCCGCGGTGGGGAAACGGTGGCGGCACTGCCCCCCCACCCCCGGGAGCCTTCCCGGGGCCACCCCAAGCGGGGCGTGGGGCGCGGGGCGCGGGGCGTGGGGCGCGGGGCGCGGGGCGCGGGCCCCCCCCTCTCCTCCCCTCCCCTCCCCTCCAGGGGCCAGGTCGGAGCCCGCCGGTCCCCTCACCGCTGCCCCCGGGCCCGCCAGGCCGCCCCCGCGCTCCGGAGGAGGCTGTGGGGAGAGTCCCCCCGCGGTGCCCCCGGGCCGGGCGCGGCCCCTTCACCTGCAGGAGCCGGAAGAGCTCCCGCTCCTCCGCGTAGGCGCCCAGCGGCGGCGGCCACGGCCGGGCGGGGGCGGCCATCACCGCCCCTAACAACCAGCCGCGCCGCCGCGTTGCTAAGGGAGCGCGCCATCACCCCGCGACGCGACAAAAGGCCCCGCCCGGCGGTGGAAGGGGGGGGGGGAGCGGGGTGGCCACCGCCTCGCTCCATGCAACGGGAGAGAGAGGGGGGGGTGTGACGTCATCTGAACGGCGACGCGCCCCGCTGCGCGGTTGCCAGGGAGACGGCGGCGCGGTTGCCGGGGCGGGAGATGCTGGGGCGGCCCAGTCAGGCTCTACCGGCACCAGCACCGGCACCGCCCGCCGGTACGAGGGAGCCGCAGGGCTCGGGGAGCTGCCGGGAGGAGGGGGCCGGCGGCGCTCCGGCGGCGAGGGGGGGGGGGCGGCGGGGGGCAGGCAGGGCTGGGCCCGGACCGTAAGGCCAACGCGGGGAAGAACCAGCCCCCTGGGCAGGGCCCCGCCGGGGGTAACCGCGGTCCGGGACCGAGCTGGCCGCTTTAATGGCCGGGTTCTGAAGCCGCTTGGGCCATAGCTTTGCACCGGGTAAGAGGCGCCATGGCTCCCCTCGGGCCTTTCACAGCGGCGCGTTTGATGCATTGCCACATTATGGTTACAATAGACCCGCTAGGGTTTATGGCGGCTGATTGTCAGTGGTCCCCTCTGGGTTCTCTGCCTCTTTTTGCAGCATCATTACTACCTCATTGACTTACTGTTTGGGGCTCTGGGACTGCAGAGCCTGGACATGATATATCTTCTTTTTCATTTTTTTTTTTTATGTTTGTCACTAACCTACACAATTCCAACTCAAGCAAAAGATGGACTTATATATGTAGAATTGCATAATTTGTAAAAAATAGCTTCTTTTCTCTCCTTCTCTCCCAATATCCAGGAGAGGGAAAACATGAATGAGGTAAAGGAGGCTCTAAGAAACATAGAGCAGAACTACAAGCTCTTCCTGCAGCAGCAGTTTACGTTTATCGGAGCACTGCAACACACCCGAGAGAATGCACATGACATGATCAGACCTGTGGCAAGCATCAGCCAGGTACAAAGCATTCAGCACAAAGTTCTCTGCCGATGAGAACAGGGACCAGCACAGTGCTGTGGCACACTTAGGTCTAGTTCAGGGAATAATATATGGTTTTACTATGGGAGGATGCACAAAAACTCTGTAGTAACATTTGTGTATAACTCTGCAAATCAATGGTAAAAGATTAAGCAGGGGAGAGAAATACCTATGTTAGGTCTTCCCAATTACAGAGAAGGAATTTGACTGCTGAGCATCACTTTATAATTTAGTTTAACACCGTCATTTCACTGATGAGGCATATCCAGAAATACAGGGTACAAGAAAACCAAACCAACCCTCCTTCTCCAGCACATGGAATCTGTAATCCTTAACTTGTAGTAACCAGCATGCTTGGCTCTTCCCCCTGGTATTGGTGCTGCTGTATCTTTCTATAGTGCTTATTAAAAATAATGGCTGTGTTACAGAGGTAGGATGATGGATTGAGGGCTGAAAGTCCCAAGTCAGTTAGGGGTTTTCTGGGCTGGTAAGTGAATTGTCTTGGAATTTTTATAACATGGGATGTTTTAAGTAGTGCAAAGAACTTAGACCACCTGCAGACAGAGGGGAAAGAAAAATCTAAATAAAATTGGAATCGTGGATTTGAGACAGTAGAACTCAAGCACAAAACCCAGATGGATGCCAAAGCCAAAGTGAAAGCCAAGCTGTTATTAGGGTGAGGACACAGAATCTGGTTGTCTTTTTTAAGTGCTGACTCTCTCTAATATAAAAGTTTTGCTTGTAACATTGGAGAGGATTACACCAGACATGACACTAAACCATTTTTTCCAAAAATAGACAATGAGATTTTGTATAATATTATGTTGTTTATAAAAGTGCCAATGTTTCAGCAGTACTGAGCAAGCTTGGGCTCCGATTCTTGGCAGAGGTGGAAGGCCTGCTTGTTGTGGGGGTGAAACGTAGATAATGACTTCAGAAATTACATTGCCCCCGGCATTGTTTGTGATACAGTAACATGTGAACATAGTGGTGGCAAACCCGACTGCAGGGATAGCCCTGAGGGTAGAATGTTACCCAGGGGGAGGATGGGACGGGCAAACGAGCAAGTTACTGGACAAGGAGCAATTGGTGCAGCATGTACTGGTGTACAGGAACTGAACCACCACCAAAGAAGGTTCACCGGGGACAAAACCAGACATCACTGTATTTCACTACCATTCTCCTGAATCAGTCCAACCCCGGCTTTAATTTTGCACGGGAGGGCACAAGAATAAAAGCAACAAGTACAGAAATATGTGTGGTCTTGGCCTACAGCTGACTCAACTGCCAGCTTGCTTTGCATGTAAATATAGACAAACAGTAAAAAATTATATTGCACTTGAACATGGCTGCATTTCTAACCCCTAAAAGCTATCTGAGGTAGCATTTTTAGTGTTGAGTGATGACATTTCTCATAGAAAAGAGGAGAGCATAGTAGGGTGGAAGGTTGAAGAGCACACCACAGTCAGGGAATGGCAACAGCTTCTTAAAGAACACTACATGGAGTAGTGTATAAAGCCAAATCCCGAGCGGTTTTGCGAGACCAGCTCCTCAGTCACTGCTTCAGCCTGAGGTTCATATCAGCCAGGGAGTCCCTGGCTGCAGTCACGCCCTTGGCCCAGCGCAGGGGCTCTCTGTGAATCCCCCTGGCTGCAGCTCAAGTGCTCAGCAGCAGTTGGCTAATGCAGAGCGGGGCAGCCCTTCCAAGCCCTTGTCCCTGTAGACCTGGTCCCCATCCTGGTTACGCAGGTGCATTAACTCTGTTCTTGATCTGGACAAAAAGAAGTCCTGTTATCCCACTGGTGAACATCCAGGCTAAAATGCTATTCTCCTTAGGACTATTTCTGCTCACAGCAGCAATAAAAAATCCTGCCACTCACAAGGACACAACGCTCAGCAAACAGTGTGGAAGGAGGAATCTGTAGTGGAAATGGACTCTTAGGGGCCATTTTTTATTTTTCTTACAAATCTGCTGAGAATTTGCCCAAGCACATAGCACAGCTTTTCTGTATGCAGAAACTGTACCGACGTTGGAACAGCTACTCGTTCTTGTCTTGAAATCTTACAGAAAGCACTGAAGATGTTAGAGTCCAGCTATGACTGCCAACCAGCCGTGCAGTATTTTATATTCTGACCACTCATGACTGAAGTGCCTATAATTTCTTTGGAGAAGATAATCTCTTGGCATAATGTTTCATCGTGCAATGCCATTTACTCTGAGTAATAAAAATGTTCAAGGCAAATAGGGAATATCATTGCTATAACAGGTTAGTAAGGACAATTTAGGTTAAATGGGTTTAGTTTGCAGTCACGTTTAGTGGCACGAAATAAAGAACTGTGAAGATTGCACATATATGCAAACACATCCATGCTGTTACTCCAAAGCAGCCCCAGTTTGGTCGCTGCCCTTTCCTCCCACCCCGCTCTGCTGAGGCAGCTGTGGCAGTGGCAGGGGATGCCCCGCTCAGAGCAGACAGAAAACTCCTCTCACAATCAACCTGTTTCTGCAGTGCTTGCAGCAGAGCTGTGGTTTTGGCTGCAGTACTCCTACACTTACTTTGAAGAAGGAGGAAGGCTCAGAGGTGTGCTGATGAGCAGATCCATCACCCCAGCTTTCTTCAGTCATGATGAATGACAAGCAAACATCTCAGGAATGCTCTAGAAATCTTACTGCCTGACACTGTATTGCAGTTTCCATAGTGGCTCATGCCTGCAGAGTCACAAGAGAAAGTTTCTCATCACTAACCTAAGCAACTTTGCAGCATATGTTAAATGTAATTTAATATGCCTGACGCTGGTTTTCCCCATGTACAGGTACAGTCCTACATGGATCATCACTGTCACAACTCCACGCACAGGCGTATCCTCAACATGTTCCTAAATATCTGCAATGATCTAAGCAAGCTCTGCCACAAGCTGGAAGCTGTGCATTCTGGTAACAACATAACCAATGGCATTTTGGAGAGATGCAAGCTGCTTCTTAGCCACAGCAACGATCTGAGCACCATCCGGGCTAAGTAGGTCCCTCCATCTGCTGAGTTTCTTTGAGGCGACTCTCAATGCTGGGGGACTGTCACAGGAATGCATATTCCCACTTGACTTCTCCGTCAGTTCTGTTACAACACCTTTCTAGCTTTAGTGAGGGTACAAGGTGCCACCCTGTTTACTCTTCCAGCTGTTGGGAAAATATTGCCAGCCTCCATTCACAAAAAGGGGGGTTGGTTTGTTTATTAATTTTTTATTGGTACATAGAAAGGCACATACAGGCAGGTGGGTACCCTGAAGTCCCATGCAATGCTCAGGCAGTTTACCTCCTCCTTCCTCCTGCTCCTGATCTGCACGTGCCTAATTTCTGTGGGGCAAGTGTCTGTATGTGCTCTTGAACTCTTCCAGATCTGGCCCAACAGCCAGGATGGTATGTTTGGCAGGATTAATTTCTCAAGATAAACTCCTATCCATGCCTTTTTCTTTTGGGGAAATGGGTATCTGTACATTTCTGCTCTTCCCAAGGGGTCTCAGGGTGGCACTGTGGGCTCACCAGCGCTGCATTGCTGGGACTACTCTGCCAGTTGTTTCCTTCTGCCCCACAGATACCCCCATGATGTTGTGAATCACCTGAGCTGTGATGAAGCAAAGAATCATTATGGAGGCGTGGTGAGCCTCATCCCCATCGTCCTAGACTGCATGAAGGAGTGGGTAACCCACACTGAGAAGCTGCCACGACACGTGCTGTATAACGTGAGTGGTGGAACTGCTATCTCTGAGAAGAGGGCACCACAGGATGCACCAGCTAGGGCAGGGATTTCCCAAAACCCCCCTTATGTGCACCTCAAAGCTCAGACCTCATCTAGTAACAAAGATAATGCACAAGTGCAGGGGATTAAGCATGTCCAGAAGAAGCACCTGAATGACACAGGAAACCACAGTGGGAAACTTAAACGTCCTTGGAAACCACCAGGTAGACATGCCTTTTAAAGGATCAAAGTTCATGCATCTTCTGCTTACCACCTTTAATCAGGTGGCTGATTAAAGACAGTGAAATGAATACTAGAGATCCCTCCTATCTGAGTGTACTTTCTGAAGTCAGCCCTGTAAGCCAGCCTTGGACAGATACATACTCTTTCCCTTGCTAATGTTTTCAGTCTCCTCCTTAAAATCCTATCCCAACAGAAGTTGCTGTAGCACTACAGCTGGTCCCTTTGACCAGCACTGTGGGAAGAGCCCAGAACAGTCGGGAGCAATCAGGTTCTAATCTTGGGCAATCTACTTGAAATGGGATTCTACACTTTCTCAGACTCCTTTATGAGGAACACCCACTCACTTGCCAAAGCCGGAGGTGTAAAAAGCCTGCGTGTCTGAAGGGCACGATGCAGAGCAGCAAAGTCTACAGGACACTAATGTCTCCCTTACATGCCACTGGCTACAAAAAAGGTCAGCGTGCTTTAGCTGCACCAGCTGTGCTCTGCTGCATCCTTCTGGCAGATTCTCACACCGGTGCCAGTACACACCACTTGGAACATCTTCCTTTATACCCATTTGACTCCTTTGCTGTCAGAACTAGAGACACGAAGGAGAACAAGCTTCATTTTGCACTTAATTTGGTGTATTGACAATATCCAAATTTGAATAAAGCAGCCCTGTCCTCCCCAGAGCTCTGCAAAGCTAACAAAGTCATTTCCAGTCAATACGATTCATGGGAATGTGGTGGGAGCAGAGAGACTGAGAAAGCTCTGGCCGTGTTTGGATGATTCTTTTTCAAACCGTAAGTTAGAATGTCTGTGCTTTCCCTTTTTCAAGATGAGAATGCAGCTTGCCTAGCTTTTAAGGGTGTTATGAGGCTTAGTTCATTAAAACTGCAAGGCATTTGAGTCTCATGCTGCTTTTATAACAGCACTTCCCAATTCCAGCGCAGTGACTATACCAGTGCTGAAAACAGCTTGCTTTCCAGCCTGCTTCGGGAGGGTCAGCAGAGCTCCAGGCTTTCCCCATTCTCTGGAGCTGATAGGCATTTTTGGTGGTGCTTTTATTCAAGCACTGTTAACTACAAACTTAAGATCTCAGCAACACTGTGTCTTCCCTGTATCTGACTGCTCTTTTCCCCTTCTGCAGGCAACTTAGCTCCTGTTTTTGCTTCCTGCTGGAAGACACTCCTGAATAAACAATTTCCCCTTGCAAACCTGGCTCAGTTTGCTAAAATTGTGAAAAAGTTTTTGCCTTAAAATGACCAGATTTTAGCAACAAGCAGCCAAAAAAGAAAGGAGAATGAATACAGAAGAAGCAGCATAGGAAGGAACGGTAGCTCAAATGAAATGGGAAATATTTTCAGGAGCAGTTGTATTCCTCACATAACACCCCTTCTTTTGCAATTTTTCCTTTCCCCTATCCACTTGTACTGCAATGCAATACATCTATCCATGCTGGAGTAGAAGCCTGTTTTTAGGAGACATCATGATCCCACTGAATTGAACCTTGGTGAACTCCAAAAGGTAACGAAGCTTGTCAGGTCCACACAGAGGCTCTGAGGCACTACTGGGGCCACAGCCAGCTAAATGGGACCGTCACCCCTTCAGGCTTTACTTGAGAGCCCTGTTGTAGAGGCAGCTTCAGGCAGAAAACCCAAAGTTACTGGCAGCTGCCCTATTGTGTTTCATGTTGTAAAGACAAGTGTCTGATGACAGTTGCTGTCTCGGAAAGTTTTTCAAAACATGCACATGCTAGGTGGAGTAAAAGATGACAAATGTTGGGGACACAAAGGATGTTATTCCCAGATCTTGTTTCCAACATTTCTCATTCCATTGTATAATTTAAATTTGAACACACAGGCTCTGATGAGACCAAAATTTTCCTCCAGTTAGTAATTCATTGTCAGCTTTCACAGTACAGCACAAATTGCTTGTCAGAACAGTCCCATCAAACCTAGTCTACCACCTCCCCAACCCTGCTCTTCAAAATGCCAATGTAGTTGTCCATTCCTGTTTGACAAAGGTTGTGATACACGCAAGAAACACAGTTCCAAACCTTAATATATTCTTTCTAGCCTAGCCCTATCCTTTCAATCAGTCTTAGGCAGCCAAACTTTGAAGACACAAGCAGAAAAATAAGTGCATAAAACTTGGAGTCTGAGGTTTGGTAATCAGAATCTGTTGGAAGACTGCAAAGTTAACTCTCACAAAAACATCTAGACAAATTACTTAATTTCCATACAAGTTCTCCTCTTCCAGAGTGGATGGACACTTCAAAAGACAAAAAGGTACAGCAAGAATTGTTTTTCTCTACTACAAATCAAGCTGTTTGAAGAATTTACATAAACAGGATGTAAATGCCAAGCACAGAAGTGCAATAAAGTTTTACTTTAGCCTCTGTGAGCATAAAATTTCAAGATACGCACTGAGAAACCAGGCAGGGCACCAAACTGACTTACCTAGAGATCTGTCAGTTAGTTGAGGAAATAAATGCTGGTTTTTTGTTCAAAGACTGAAATAGAGATATGGGCTGGTAGTAGTAGATGATCTCAAGAGAATCCTGGCATCTGTAGGCTATAAATGACTTCTGTGCTGCCCTTGATTCAGCTGAGGGTCAAACCAGGCTTTTGTCAACCTGTAATCAGGTCAAAATATTTCTGTACGTTAAACATCAGGTTCCAGCATCTGACACGCCGAGGGGCTGGGGCAGAGCTGAGACCCCAAGGGGTGAGGATCAAGGGTCGGGGGTGGCGGTGGGCTTTTCAGGGAAGGAGAGGGGGGTGATTCAAGGGAGAAGGGAACCTCGGCGTCCCGAAGATGCGGTTAAGGCCGGTGGGAGCGGAGTGGCGAGCTTCGCGGGGCCTCTAGTGGCCACGGCCGGGAAAGGCCCGGGCCGGGGGCGCCCGCCCGGCCCCCCACACCAGAGCCCAGCTGGCACAGGCTCTGAAAAGCAATTTTTAGAGTGTGTCGTCCCCCCCCCCCCCCCAATCCCAAATCGCAAGCGGCTTTTTAACGCTTGTTACCATCTAAGCAAGCCCACGGGCTGCAGCACGGCAGCAGCCACGCGTGGCCCCAGGACACGGAGGGGAGAGGCGGGAGGGCTGGTCCCGGCCCCGCCGCTCAGCTGGGTGCTGGGTGCTCACACCTTTCCCCGAGTCCCCCATGCCCCGGGGGGCAGCACCGCTGCGAACTGAGCTTTCGGTCCACCGAGAAGCCCCGCCGGGCCAGGAGCCCAGCCCGCGGCGGGGGAACCCGAGGAGGGCTGCAAGAAAAAAAGGTTTAGCCAAGTAAAGCTCACACACACCGAAATCACGAAGGCCATCTGTCAAAAGTGTTTGGAATAAAGTTTTGGCTGGAAAGTAAAGTCTTAACACGCAGCTTCAGTGGCAAAGCTCCTACATGTGTGAAGAAAGTAACTCAACTCCTGCCCGTTCTCTAAACTATTTTGAAACCACTTTTAAAATCCACCAAGTAGTTCCAATAAATCAAGATCAATCAGCAAAGATACTTCAAATTCAGGAAATGAAGTTATTTCCTTCCCTAATGTCTACTGCATGTTTATTAGCTGGGTTATAAACCACTAAACATACTACTTAGCATTAGTAAGGAAGGTACTTTATTATTCTCTTTTTGCACCCTAGTGGATGTACTTCTGTGGGTAATATATATCTAATTATTTTTTACACTACCAAGTGCTGCTTTTCAATGCTAAGCTTAAGGGATATGCAAAATGGATTTAAAATAAGGCAAGTGCAAGTCAAATTCACTTTCTGCTTTGTTTTCATTTCACTTACACCATGCTGTAGAACTCATCCCAGCGTAGAAGGCCACAAAACAACTTTCTATATCCCCTAACCCCAAGATAATGTTTACGGTAACTTTTATATAAAATTCTCCATAAACACTGTTACTCGGCCAAAGCATGTTCACATATAGACTGTATGTCACTCACGCCATCTCCTTTGCACATGTTGTTCAAATTTAAGAATTATACTCAGTCCTTAACCGGATTGCTGAGGTTCCTGTATGAATTTCGAAATTGCTTTGAGCAACCTTTCAAATACTCCTTTATTTCTGGAAAAAAAAAAAAACAAACACCCAAAACCACCAAGTAAGAAAGTGCCAGTCTGGAAAAAAAAAAGAAAAAAACAAAACAAGAGAACAACCTTAACCCATTAGGTTAAGTTTACAGTATGATGGCCCCAAAGCTGCCCTTGGTTTGAGAAACTGTCCTCCTGCGTGCAGAGCGACTCTTGAGCAGGGTACGGAAGAGAAAAGCACGTAGAGAGGGACAGAGCGAGCCAGCCAGCTTCTGACAGCGTCCCCAGCTTTGCAAAACAACAGTATCTGACATTTTCAGCTATTAAGTTGTCTAATCACTGTGTAGTCTTTAGACTACATGAACAATGCCACATAGAAAAAGCTAATATGCAGATCTGCAGTACTGAATTGCGTGCAGTTAATTTATAGAGTATACCAGCTTGTAGTTGTCGAGTGTGTTTTTTCACAGAAGAAAAAAGGCTTTGGCTTCACGCAGAAAAATGAGCTGCTGACAAACCCCATGCAAAAAGGGGCAGAACCACTTATCTGCTCTGTACGATGTCGATCTTGGAAGACATTTCAATATTGAACTTGTTTCTGCATGTTTTGTCTCAGCACAGCTCGGTCCCAAAGGGGTCAGCTTGCAGGGAATTTAACACAGAGTAGTGCAAAACAATACATTTTATTTGTTCACAGTTAAACACAAGCAACTGCCTTGACATTTTAGAACATTCTAATAAGGACAGCAAAACCTCCTTTTGGTTTAAGTTCTCTTTAGCTTACGATTGTACCATTTCCTCATATTTCATATTTATGGCATTTAATGTGGATTGTTTAACATGCTTACAAAGAGCGAGGCAGGGAACAGATTAACTTGACAAAGACAGCAATTTCAGATTTAACTAAAAGCAGTCAGTTAAAAAAATCTGTTTCCACTTCACTGATGGGACCCCTTCAAACAAACTGCAAGTTAACTACATACAGCAGATCCATGATTTTTAGACTTATAAAAAAAAAATTGCAAAATTTGTTCCTCCATAATCTTTGTGGTCCATAAACAAACCTAAAGTGGTTTCCATTACTATCCCGGTGCTAAAATCCTTTTTAAAAGAAGAAAAAGCGCCACTTATCAATGAGCTTGAGTTACCGCCAGGGCATTTCTGTAACCGACAACGAAAAACGCCTCTCCTCAGAACAAGTGAAGTCATCATCTAAGCAAGATACTCTTCTGGGCTTGGCAAAGCAGAAGGATGGGTGAAGGAACTCCTCCAACACAAGAGCATCCAACGGCTGAGCCAACCCTTCAAGGGCAATGTGCAAACCGTTCACTCCTGGGGCTGGGACCCGGGGGGGCAAGGGGCAGGAAACCTCCAAATCTTACCAAAACATACGCTACCACGTTTGCTACTGCTAAGTCTTAGAAAGCCTATAGACATGTCGACAAAACCAGTCTGTCACTTACAACCAACTCTCTATTTTCTATTCCATGCAGATTCAAGCTTTGACAAAACCACTGAAGTTCACCTTTACTTTCAGAGTTAGGACTGACCAACCGAAAGGACACTGAGGATAATTTAGACAGGCAGAAATGTATTTAGACCCTAGGTGTTATGGAAGAAGTGGAAATGGGAGGAAAAATACTGTCAGGCACAAGTTAGCATATTGCCAGCTGCTTTGACAGAGTCCTGTTCCTATTTAGGTTAAGAAGATATTTGAACTACAAGTGCAAGTGTACTTGGACTTGATTTATATTTGAGAGGGTTCTTAAACAGCAGCTGCACGCACCCCATCCCCCCCCCGAATGTTTAAGGAAAGAGGCCACGTGTGATGCAGGCTAACTGTGAAGCCTGATATGCCCAAGTATGCCTGGACCCAGACATAGCCAACATTAAAACAAGCACTCTGCCTTCCTAACAGCAGGCTCCGTTCTGTCACAAAGGAGATTGAGTCTGACCACTGACAAGCCCTGATCCCACAATCCTCCTTCACAGAAGGCTCATCATTGACTTAAAACATGATTAATGCAGAAAGGCTTCATGACAGAATTCTGATTCTCAGTTTGAGCAGCTTCCTCCTCAGCCTTGTCTTCTAAGGAAATGGGATGAAGGCAAAGGGGAGATACCTAGAGCCAAATTGACATTGCTGAGCTGAAAAGCGTGCTGCTGTCTGAGCAGAACAGCACTCAAAGGAAACCGTATTCTGTAAGTCAAGCCTGAAATCATATTCCCAGGGAGAATGAAGACAATTTCTTGGACTCAAAACACAGTGGTCTTGCTCAGACCAGGAACAAAGACCAGAACTATGAAGGAGGGTCAGGCAGCACAAATATTTCCCCGATTAGAGAAATAAATGTTCTTCTGCAGATTTTCATAAGCTTGCAATTCTACATACAGGTTCTGCATGCTCTCCCCACTTGAGAGTAAAGCTTCCTTTCCCTCTTCTTCCACCCCAATGATTTCCCATATGAACCAGTCTGAGGTCAGTACCAGTCTGTCAGGCAAACACTTAAAATATCAAAAAGATCAGAAGCTAGTGTTTTAACAAGTCTTCAGCATATACGGTCTCTTCTGCATTACAAGCTCCAGTTCCTTATTAAGTGTCTGTTCAAATGTAACTTTCCAGGAAATGTTAAGGACAATATAAACAATGATCATGAATTAGGGTGAATGAATCGTTTTGTAGAGGTACACTGTTCTTTAAACAATTAGGTATTCAATCAGAGTCCAACTTAATGAAGACTGGGCTCTGAGGGATGTGGGACAGTGGACAGGCAAAATAGAGACCTTTAGATGAATGCACTAGAAATTCTAGTGCTGCTTCTTTCCAGGATGAAAGAAACCAAAGTCACCCGGACAGGCAGCACAATTAACTGCTCTAAATTGGAAGCTTGCAAGGAAATAATACAAAGCATTCATAGTAGACTCACAAATGTTAATTTGGCCTCATATTGCACTCAAGTTCATAAACGCAGCCACTCATCTGGGGACAGGGAGAAAGGGAAAAAATACTTGCAAATGCTAACAGTTCTCCCTTCAAATTAGTACACGCTGCTAAGGACTGAATTTGAGAAAGAAGCAAGAGTTAGGCTGGGCATTTAAATTCCAGACCCAAAAATCCACTTTGCATTCGTTCATCAGCCTTCTTCCATTTCTGGACATCAATCCTATTCCGCTGCATGAGCTAGCTGCTCAGACCAAAAAAACATAAAAGCTTTTAGTTAAACTTGCATTCACGCCTCCTGTTCTATGCCAAGAATATGAAAATAACACTGATTGACTATCTTCCTTTTTAACTGTGGTCATGATGAGTTTCATTGTAGTCCATGATATGAAGCTGTCCAACACTGCTTTCCTGGATCTTCGGCGAGAGGCTAAGGTTATCTGGGCTTGGAGGAACCTTTGTCTCCATGCTTGGATCTTTACATAGTTCAGTCTTTAGAGCATCAGAAAGCCTGTTGATGGTTACACCTTCCTCATCACACTGGCTCTCGCTCTTGTTGCGAAATAATTCTCGTGCCTTCATTCCAAGGAAGCTCTTGGAGCTGGGGAGTGAACCTACAGTCAGTGGGACAGTAGTCGAGGGCTCCAGCAACAGGGATGTCTCCCAGCGACT